TACTTTGGTTCATAGGGTATGGTTTCTCCATGTTGGAGATATGGAGACAAACACCTTTTGGTCCTAAAATGTGCTTAATGGGAAAAAACTAATCCTCTTGTTGGATGCCGTCACCAGGGAGTCCTTTTTGGCATGACCAGTGGAATTTTGCCGCACTCGTGGCCATGTTTGTCCATACTGCTGGGGCCACTGCAGGGGCAGGTCGGCCAGAAGGTCACATCTTGTGGACTTCGTGGTCGGGTTTTCGCATGGTTCCAGGTCGTATCAGATTTGAACGGCTGAAGCAGAACCGCTTCGTTTTGGGTCTCTATAGAACCGGTTCGTTCTCTTGACCTCGGGATGGCGTGGACTTGGACTCCGCTCCACCGTGCCACGGCGAAAGCGTTGGTTCGAGGTTGCTTCGGTTCGGTCCAATGGGGGTCGGATGGATCCAGGTACCAAATCTTATGCCTTCAAATGCTTCCACTGCGACTGGGCGTGCACGGCGCGCACGGGGCAAAAACGGATCGATGGCGAGACGGGCGGCGAGGCGGCTCGATCGAGCCTGGCCAGCTTCGATCGATCGATCCGGGGGAGGGCATCCTCAGTGGCAAGGCTTGGTTGCAGAGGGCCATCCACTTGGAAAGGGAGGGCCGGCCTATGCATTTTGAGGCTTTTGGTGATACCCATGCACACCCGTATAATGTCCTTTTCTGAAAAAATGGGACATCATGAGTCATGAGCCTACAATTTACAAAAGCAGGGGCAATTGTATCATTTTCCGAGGTTTATGCTTTGAGACTCCAGGTATACATGAACAGCGATGCCTTTGCGGAGAGTCCTAGGTCCTTAGGTGTTGTAAGTGCATGACGGATACTCTCCCTGGAATTGACATGGAAGTGTAAAATGTTCTCTTGGAAGACCATTTTCACCTATGGTGGTCCCCAAATAGATAGAAGTTCGTAGATCCCCACTGTAGAACACATGCATATATACTTGGGAAAAAGAACACGTGCCCGTGCCACGATCTATTCCGGGACCACCAAGCTTGGTAGTCCAAGGACTATAACAGTATTCCAAGGGACTGCTTGGAAGCTGCGAACAAACGAAGTCATTTCATGTTGTTCGTAGCTTCCCTCGGCATCCGCCGAGGCTTCGGAAGTTGGATGATATCAGCGTCCATGACATGGACGCGCAGCGGGAGGCGCCGTGACGTGCGTGTTGGGTTGGACGGTGCGTGCCGACACGTCATGTGGGTGCCTTTTTGCCAAGCAGGTTGGCAAGGGAACTGGTTTGCCCAATAGCCAAACACTGCCTTTCGCAAGAACCGTAAAACTATTTGAGTTTCCCGAGTCTTTGTTGCTCTCGAATGAGTCATGGAAGCTTATACATATATAGAAGCTTCTTCAACTTGATTCGCAAAGTCGCATGAAGTCGCAGCTTGCGTGGTGCCTTCCGATGTGTGCGATTTGGACCTTCAATCCGTTTGAGGAGGCCCAGGTGGTTCGCATCCCACATGGGCGGTTCATGGCACACCCGGTTGGGCGGTGACCTGGTCAACCGGGGTCTCCCAGTGCCATGAGCAATTGCTCCACTGCTTTGCCAGGACACGAAGCTGAGCCATGCCATCTTGAAACCAGGTGATGGTCTTACCTAGTGTGCATTGTTTTAGTCATATATTAGAAAAAAAATGTTTTGTCAAATAATGACACTTTCTCAACTTCACAGATCCCAACATGCTTTTTTGGTATTTCACAACATTCCAGACATGTTGCATGAGAAACCGGATCCAAAGGGTTCCCAGCCACCAGGCTCAAAAGAAACACAAAAAAAAACAAGAGCGGAAATACCCGTCCAAAAGGCGGAAATCGGCGGAACAAAGGGGAAAAACCCGGACAAAAATATGGCCCAAGTTTGTCAGGTTTGAAGGGTCAATTTGAAGTGGATCTGTGTCCACTGAAATGGGCCAGGAAGACACGATAGCACTTTTCACTCCCGATTACACTTTTGCTTGAAAGAGTACGTTTTTTGCTTCCAAATCAGCAGATTACAAAAAAAAGCAAGGTTGGGTTTTCAAGGTATGGATATGTTTATGTTCAGGCTTTTCTTTTTGATGATTGAACCCACTGACTAATATATGCTATATGATATGATCCAATAACAAGCGGGTTGAAAGCACTACCCAGATATTTCACATTGAAAACAACGTGCCCGTCGAGCTTTCGTCCCTGGAGCTTTCTTCACCTCAGTTGAAGTTCAGAGTACTGGCGAGACTAGCTATCTGGTGTATGCTGGTGACGTCCCAGTTTTGTTGGCACTTGGAGGGTCCAGGCACTTGTTCTAAATCCCCCAAAAACTCGAATCCGCAAGGAAGATGCTCAAATCCAGAAGGAAGATGAGACGCAAATGGCAATCTGCTGGCAACTAGAGGTGGCAACAAAGTTCAGGGCCTGTGAGGATTAGATCGATAACTATCCAGAGCCTGAATGACCTTTATATTGGCTTGCCAACCACCCAACATATGGTATGCCTCTATCAAAAACAGTGGTCATTCATGGATTCAATCATGGCCTAACTTAGCTTTGGATGCTGTTTACACAGCTTCCTGCTTCATCCCTGCCTCCGTGCCCTTCCAACCAATCCGCTTCCTCCGTCCCACCTCCCCCGTTCCGAGGCCGCCCAGCGCGTGCAACTCAGCTTGCGCGCCATGGATGACCTCGCCTCGCGGCACGAGGGTGTCAAGGACCGACCCCCTGTGTCGCCGCTCATGTCGCGGTCGAGTCCAGTGGATGTTTGTTGCGCTGTTCTATATCTCTAAAGTTTAAGTCGGCCCTCTCCTTTTTGTACAGAGCTTCGTTGAACATATTGAACATCAAAACCAAACACATATGTTATATATAAAATTAGATACTAGGTGATGGTTGCGGATGTTTGAAAAGGTGGGAGTATACTCCGAAGCAGATCAACATGAATTCTGGGGGGTCCTAGGTACCCCCTGCTTAAGACATGGGCTATGCGGTCGGTGGAAGCGCTGGACCGACCGGCGACCAGAGACGAAGCGCTGAACATTCAAGAACCATCGATCATTTGACCCCCCCAATATAGAACCTTTATCCCAGACACGACTAATGGGACTGCCATAGATGCCGATCAATTGACCCCTAAAAGAACCACCCCAATGTAGGTAAATATACCAGTCCCATGGAGTGTTTGGGTATAGTAATTTAGAAGTTCGTAGATCCCCCACGTAGAACATGTATTGGATATCGTGAAAACTATATGTGATCGCGATCTTTGCCTAGATGGTTTGACCCCCCCGAAAACCACCCCAACTGATCCAAGCAAGCGCAGGCAGACAGAGGCAACATGCCAATCGCATGAAGTGTTTGGGTGAGAGAGCGAGAGACAGAGTAGACGACGGAGTCCAAGTACCCAAATTGGGTTGCTGATGTTGAACCTCCAGATTCTGCTTGGCCAGTCAGAGGGTGCTTCCAATGATCCAAAGACAACATGACCTGCTGATGAAAAACAGCGAGAAAAGTAGACGACTGTTCCTCACAGTGCTTGGATAGGGGAGATGTAAGCACCAACAAGTCCGACTAAAGTCTATTACCACCAGCTTCTTCAAAGTGACCTTTTGAAGGTTCCTAAGTGACCCTTAGGAGGCTTAAGTTAAGTGACCTCAAACCAGGTTATCAAAAGGTCACTTTGAAGAACCAGACACATAGGTTCTGGAATGGATTATACGGGAGATTAGGTTCTGGAATCTATTATTTATTACACAGAAGAAGGCCTGACAGAAGCTTGCACTAGGCCTGTCTATTGGCTACAGAGCCTTGCTTTTGGTTTGGGCTGCAATCACAACTCACAACAGTTGGAGATGAGACCCTTCTGGAGAATGTGGGTGTTTGTCCAGAGCGCGACAGGTGAAGGATGACTCAGCGGCAAGCAACAAGCAAATGCTGGCAGCCAGGGGCTTATGTTGGCCATAGATGTGGACTGCAAACGCCTGGGGTGAGCAGTGAAGTACACAGTGCAGCGCAAGTTTGGTGCCTGGGGATTCCCCCAATCTTTCTCCCCCAAGATCATCAAAGCGAGAGTCTCCAGCTAGGATTCCCATCCAGATCTCCAGGTATGGTCCCATCTACCAATTGATCGACTGATTTCAAGAGACCTGTTATGACATGTTCATCAAGAAGCATTGAAACAACATCCATGTGTTTGATTCCTCTCTTCGAAATCACCTAATACACAGGCTGCCGGTTCTCCAGCTCTACCACACCAGGTGGCACCACCTCCCGGCCTGGTGACTCCACAAAGGTCTTCCGGCCGGCCAACAAGATGACCGTTTTCAAGGAGATCTCGGAGTATTTTGTCGTGGCCCTCAGATCTGTCGCACATGGTCGTTGGTCAGATTTGTTGAGGTGGGGGTTTGGGCGATGTTGTGCAAGTCAGGGATGGACGATGGTTGGAGCGGACCGGAGTGGATGTGTGATTACTCGTCAATTGATCTCTGAAGAGGACTAGTGAAGAGGACTCATATTGTGATGGGCTGTGATAGGTTCCATATTCTTTTTATACGTCCCTGTGGATCCAAAGGATCAAAGCCTTCTTGAAGTACACAGAAGGACGAGCGGTCCCATGTGCGTGACCAGCAAGGAGGCCAGGTGTGAATCAAAGGAACATCTGCACGTCTGAATCTGAGCATTCAATTCTTGGATCTTCTTGGAGTGGCATATATACCCTCCTCTTTGCAATCCTGTTGGAGTGATATGATCGTTGTGTTTCCTGTGCACGGAAACCTATTTGTCACTTGGCGGGTTATGAAACACTAGAATTAAAGCATATGCAAACCCTCAGTCTCAGAAAGTCTGCTGTCTTTTCCCACCACAGGGTCAAATGCATGTTCTTTTCGCACGGCCAAAACGCCAGTTCTCAGCCCCGGACAAAAGTTCTCGCGTCACTGATGACAAGGCATGGAAAAGCGCACCTGCCTGATTACTCCAAAATTGAGGTGTTGATTCGCCCAGGATAGTCACGACGCGACGCGCACGCGACGACGTGCCGCGAAAGCCATGGCGATGCGAATCCCCATGTGGCAGATGAATGGAGAGGTTTTGCACGTGGAAGTGATGCCCGAGATGCGCGTGGCGGAGACCCGACGTGACGGGACGCGGACAGAGCGGTTCAGGTCAGCCTACAGCACAGAGCGGATCGGTCCTGAAAGCGGTCGACCGTGTTTGTGTTCTTTTTCGGTGCTGAAACACGAAACCGAAATGATTCGTTGCTGTTGGATGTGTTTTCTGCCGTGTTCTTTTCAATACTCACTTAAAGTTCCGATGAAGGATATTGGCACCGTTCAATATTGTATGCTGTATATAGCCGCAGCCTAAAGGAGTTCAGTTCTGCTTCTCTCGGTGAAAGCCAACCACCAACGTTGTGGATGGTATCTTTTATGACTCCTTCTTTGGTAGAATCTCCAGCCTGTAAACGGCCATATAGCGTCCAACCCTTTAACTAAGGATTTGACACTAAAACTAGGTCAACCTTTAGGTCTTGAAAGACTATATAGGGGCTGGTCTGACCCCCTGTGTGTCGGTGTTTCTTTCGCTTGCTGCTCTTTCCGCCGTGGGACAAGGACTTGAAGCATCAACTGCGAGTCTTGCAGCCCAGTGCGGATCCCCGTTTTTTCGGAGCGTCGTCCCTTTGGAGATCGAGTTGCTGGGAGGGTATGTTTGTGTTCATGTGAGCGACGGACAAAATTATTGGCTGACTTATTCAGTCACGGCATGACCCTAAACCTATGTTGAGGGCTTTGTTTCTGTGGAAAACGATATGGTCCCCACCAAAAACGATAATCTTGTTAAGATGTAGTGGGTACAAAGATGTTTGTGGTTACCAGATGCGATTGCATTTGCAAGTTTATTTGAGCATATTTGAGCTAAACCGATGGGCACCTCTTTTCATCAATGGTAATCCCAGACAACTTCCCAAACGATAATCCAAACGATAAGCGAACGATAACCTAAATGTCACGCCAGGCACTCCGTAGACCTACTTCTCCACATTACTAGTGTTGGTCCGAGCTACTAGGTCCCCGCTTATCTTGTGATCCTTGCACAGCTCGGTGCCACAAGAACCCGAGTGCATAAATCAAGTGCTGTGCCATTCCTGTGCAGAAAGCACTGTAAGCCTCTAATCTGAGGTTGTGAGTCATATTTTGTGTTTTAGCCTATGTGCTGGTATGCTATGCTAACTACGGTTTGGAGAAACATTGGAGAACGATATGGACCCCACCAAAAACGATAATCATGTCAAATGGTATTGCGCTACACAAGTAATTTTGTCCGCTGCTCATGTGTCCTTGGGACAGTTTCAGGCAGAAGCGTCAGTTCCTACGGCTTCTCTCAGCTAGCCTCACCTTGTTCTCACGATGTTTGCAATATGGGTTCGATTGGGATCGACCGACGGAATGACCCGAATTGGGGTCGAGTCATTCCCGTTGACTCACCAAGTCCCAGAGGTTCTACGTGGAGGTATTATAGTGCTACTGGGTCTTTGGATCTGTAGGGTTCTGTTTGGTCTTCGATTTTTTCCGGGGGGTGGGTTCAGCAGGGCGCAGCACCCTGAGCAGCCTCACTGAAAGGATACTTAGATCTTCCAACAACTATGCAAAAGGGCAGAAATGTTATCAAGATATGATCCATCTATATAATGGATCGATCCAGTATAATTTCATCCTTAAGAGGTACATCAGTCATTTACTGCGAAACCACGAATCATGTTTAACCCCGAATCTCAAGTAAATACGTAGACAGACTTCAATTCAACCGCTTCAAGTGCCACGTGTGACCTCTCCGCCTCTCCGCCTCCGCCTCCCCAGGTGCCGACAAGCTCCAGCGGCGCATTACGCGTGTCGAGGTGACTGTAAAACGACGGGTTTGGGTCGGAGCGGAGGGGAGAGGGGTGACTGGAGGAGGGCAGCGACATGCATTTGAAGCCAGTCAATCAATACCCACTCCATGTCTGTCATATATACCTACATTAACCCCTCAAACCACACACATATGTAGGTAAATATGTCATGCATGGAGTCTCTGGGATACACTATAAATATACATGTATATGGAAGATGTATGTCAATCATATATATTGAAGATGATGACTATAGTTTATACTTGTCATGGTAGCCGAAGATGACGAGCAGACGGAGCTTTTCTCCAAGAATCATGGAAGCTACACTAGGCTAGACCATACAAGATCTAGACATATCTAGACCATTCACTCGCAGTGGACGGTCTGCGTTGATATGCCGGACACACAGCTCCGAACGGATCCGCTGTACACATGCACACTCGCCAAAATCTACCAACCCACCACAGGGATGGACCACGTTTCCAATCGCCTGTCGGCTCCAATCCCAAACAGGAAGGCAGCAAAAGGAGCCCTGCTGTACTGATGTGAGGCGCAGCACCTACAATGCAACCATATACAAGATCTTACAAGGCTCTAGATCTTTGTCGAGGAACATAGTCTGTGGAGGAACTAGGTGCTTTTTTGTTCCACTTCCATAATTGCTGGAGGAGGTATATTTCGAGAGTAAAGGAATAGGGCAATATCTCTGATATTGATATGAACCGCCTCCCAGTAGTTTCTCTCAGCTGACACTTTTCAAGTTGTTTGGAGAGTGATGACACTCATTCAGATGAGTGTCTTCTCAGAACAATCCCATGGGTTCAGACACTCATCTGATTCGCTGTCCTTCTCATTCCAGGTGCTCTTGGACCACGAAAGACTGCAGGAAGACGAGCAAACCTTGGGCCATGCAGGGCTCTTGCCGGATTCCGCGGCTGAGATCGAACGGAGGATGGACAGCGCCGGGGACAGCCGAAGGCTGGGGCAACCTGGTAGGCTGCACCAAGCCCAAATCGACCAAGGTTAGCCTTACTAAGCTCTCTATAGTCTTACTCCAAGAACCCGTGAGTTGTGAGGAACCTATTTGGGGAAAAAAGTTCAATCAGAAACATCAAGAAGCATTTGTCTCCAGCAGCTTGCAAAGCCCCCCCTTCAGCAGCCAAACAGAGCAAACACCATCAAAAGTAACCTAATCCCATCACCTTCCACACTGAAAGTATCACGAGCTCGGATCTCGACATCAACACACTGCCGGCCCTTAGTGCTGCTACTGCCTTTTGAGGTCGTCCATGTGCTCTTCACAATGAATGCTGTGGTGTGCAGCAGCCAGGAAGCTTCTGGAAAACAACCCTTGGAACTGCAAGTCGTGAGCATCCCAGAGACTTGGTATGATAGTTTCATGCAGTAAGCTGCAGGGAGGGTCCGCAGGGTGCAGGGGTGCAGCTGCGAGTCTTCTTCAGGCTGGCTGCGAGTCTTTTTCAAGCAGCTGGCAGCTGGTTCATCGGGCTCATTCCCTCATTTCCTACTATAAGATACAATATATAGCAAGCATCAGTTTGTTAGGTTGTACTTTTGGTGGAGGCTGATAGCTGAGCCATGGTATGCAATAGTTTTGGTGCCTGAAAAGGAGGATGCGGTGATGCTGAGTAGCTTCGTTTACATGAAGGATGAAGGATTTGCCGAGCGTAGAATCCTGCACAGGGTTCGCGCAGAACCATTGCTGGCTTAGGTTCTTTTTCAAGCCCGGGTAGAAGGCATCATAGACTCCAACCAAGTTGTCATCCATAAAATTTCATGAACTTAATTTTAGAATGAATATGAGATATCACAAAACCCGGTTTCGCTCATTGAGCTGCTAAGGAGTCGGCCACAGAGATTGAGGCTGCTGCCTTCCAAGATTGCAGCCTTCTTGAGCTGGTGTCGATGCTTGGAAGCGGTGAACATGTGGTGGTTTTCAACCAGTTTTGCCTCAGTTCTGCGCTATCATCACACTAAAACCGACAGGGAAATCACGTCAAAACACTGAACCTGATAGGCCCAACGGATCAGTGGATGAACACGTTGGGCGCATCGTTCGCTGATCACGTTGGATTCCTCAAAACTGTCTCGGGCAATTGCTTTGGCAGATCAGTTTTTGGAATCTACCGAGGGAGCGAACAACTGATGCTGTCGGCTTTGATGCTTTGATCTGGCCAGTTTGATCCAGTGGAATCAATTATGTTTTTTGTGTTTCCGCCCGGGTTCGCATGGAGGCACCATGCAAAACAATTTTTGGCTGTCTCAACCTCCATTTTAGCTTTATGACCCATGTATTCCTAAGACCATGGACTACAGATCCAAAGACGACACCCGGCTCACCAAACGTGCTGAGAGAAAAGTTGGAGCTTGCGGCAGGATTCTCCCTCATCTTGGATTCGCTTTTCTTGCATCCATCCCAGGCCATTCTGCCATTCCCACCTTCCCCAACCCCAAAAAGCCACCCCAGAGACGTGGACCCCAACCAACGCCCGAAATCCAATCAGAACGCGTGGCGCTGAACGGAGCCGGGACGCTGAGGATTCCAAGTTCCGTGGCCAGGATCGGGGCTGAGGCTTTTGCCAATTGCAGCTCCATCACCCAGGCGCAGGATGTGTGAGACGCAAGGTCGACATGTTGGAGTGGATGGGGTTTTCGGGGATGAGAGCAGGTAGAAAGCATGGAACAGAAGGATGCTCGAATGCTTAAGATGGAACAGAATGGAACCAAGAACTTACCAGCGGACTCCGAGACATGAACGCTTCTGAAGCAATATATATCACCATGGCATCAGGATCAAAAGAAAAAATATCAGGATCAATAAAAAAGGAACAGCATCAAAAAAGCAATAATCCTGACTAGGTCCCCTGGTCCTTGGGTCCCCGCAGGTCCTTTGAGTAGCATTTTTTTGATTTTTTTGTCTATGAAGGAGTTTATACAAAAGTAGAACTGCTCTTGATGCTGCATAGGCTGTTATGCTTGGGGGTGGAAGTTTGCGTAGGCAACCGCGTAGGAAAGCATAGCGGTGTCTCGCGTAGGCAGGCTTGCGTAGTTGTGAGTTGCAACTTGGAATGAGTCCAATAAAACCTTTAACAGATGATGGAAAGAACAAATGGACCATGGATGTTTCTTCAGTACCTGTACAACTGTAGACAGGAGGCAGGCAAACCCGCGAATGCTTTGCGTTTGCTTTCGTAGGTTTGGAAGGGTTTGGCCCATTGCCTTGTTTCAGGCTTAATCCATCTGAGCCGTTTAAGCAACCAAACAAACAGCATGTAGTCGTCGTTTTGGTTTCTGTTTGTATGAGTCGCGCCGTGAAGACATGGAACGACTTCACGCCCAAGTACCGCAAAGAGCTTCTCAGTATCTAAAGGTCCTAGAAACTTTGTACTACAAAGTGGCCAGTTCTGAGGCTCCCAGAAGCTGCTTCCCGCACTGCATTTGCACTACCAAGTGGCTAGTTGTGAGGCGACAGCTCCCAGAAGCTGCTTCCCGTATTACATTGGTACTTTCAAGTGGCCAGTTCTGAGGCCAGAGCTCCCACACATTTGTACTACCAAGAAGCTGCTTCCCGTACTACATTTGTACAATTTTGTACATCTTCCGAAGGTCAGCGTTCAATAAGGCCAAACTCGTCTTCTTCATTTTCGTCTTCTGCATTTGATCCATGAAGTCGTCGTGTAAAAGGCCTCGCGTAGTCGACCGCGTAGATGCCTCGACAAAGCCCTCAAGCTGGAATACACTCGCGTAGGCTACCTCACACACTTTTGACCCCTGGCGTAGGCGCTCGCGTGTACATGCTTCCCAGTGTATACTTCCATGCGCCCTAAGAAACACCACTCCTTTAAGTCCTTTGGTCCGCTGGTCCCCTGGTCCTTCGGTCTCCTGGTCCGCTGGTCTTATGGTCCTTCAGTCTTGGTAGCTCCCTAGTAGAGAGATAGCTTCCCAGTGGGGTGCTAGCTCGCTGGTAGGGTGTTACCCAGTAGGGGATAGCGCTGTTTGTACTTGCATTGCGGGGGGCGCGCTGCGCCCTCCCCCGCACCCCCTCCCGCTAGTAACCCCTGCTATTGCCAGTACTTCCAACACCAGTCTTGCCACAGATACCACAACTACTATCTTCTTTGCGTTGACGCTGCCACAAAGGTGGATGATAAGGCCCACTTTCGCCTAGCGTAACAACCAGAAACCTTCGCTTAGTAGGAAGCGCTGTGCCCTACCCCTACTATTTCCCCTTTTACTAATAAGAACCATAATAACTACCACTACGACTACTCCTACTACTACCACTTCTACTACTACTACTTCTACTACTACTACAACTTCTACTATAAACTATTTTTGCTACTACCACTACCACTACCTCTACTACTGCTACTACTACTACTACCACTACTACTACCACCACTACTACTACTACTACTATTACTACTACTATTACTACTACTACTACTACTACTACTACTACTACTACTACTACTACTACTACTACTACTACTACTACTGTCCTTTCCCCATTCTTTTTTTCTTCGTCACCAGCATCTGAGAAAATATAAACAACGTGAATGGCACATGCTTCGATTTTGGACCATTTACAATGGGTTCAAACTAGATGTCACAATCCGCACAAAGTTTTTTTAATACGCATAAGGGTCCATACTGTACTCCATCCTTACATATCGTTACTGTACCTTCCGCATCCATTCTCCATTTTCCACCCGGCCCTTCCATCCATTCGCCTTATCTCGGTCGTGCTTCTTGCAGGTGAAGCTGCCCGAGTCCTTGGCGCACATCGGAGAGAGCGCCTTCGCCGGCTGCGCCTCCTTAAGATCGGTGGCCATTCCCAGTTGGGTTCCATGGCACGAATCGTTTCAGGGTCCGGTATTGGAGAACCGACGGTTTCGGGAGGCTTCTGGAGGCTTCTGGGGATGTTCCACCGGCGGTTTCTCCTGCCAAAAAGAGCAGAGTATAGCATGTCTACACGGAAGGTGTCCCAATGATGTAGCTTGCGGGTGAAGCAACATGTAAAGCAAATCAAAAAGGAATGACCCCAAACAGCATGCCATAGTATGCCTCTTGACTCGCCCAATGGCACTCCAACTTGCCAGGTGCAAAAACGATCGTTTTCCATCAACTGTGACCCAGCTTCGATCACCTCCAGACCCTTGACCCGAGGATTTGGGTCCGAATGGAGACTCAGACCACCGACAAATGTCAGGTGGCCATCGGGGAAGGCGCTTTCAAGTCGTGCAGCTCCTTGAAGCTTGGGAGAAGAAAACTCGTTTGGTCCAGAGGATTCCGGATTTTTTCTTTGGGATTTTTCTTCCAGATGTGATTGGGGTCGTTTTTTGAGGGTTGGTGTTGTTGTTTTTTTTTTTTTTAAATTGTGTATTTTGTGTTTGTTTCATTTCCTGCTCTTTTGTGGGATTTTGCCGCCGACCCCGTAACCACGAGACGGATCTTGTTGAGTGCTCGAAGTGGTTGGAGCGGTTGTTGGAGCCGGATGAAGCAGCGATGGTTCAAAGCGCCACAACGAGCTTGAAAGGTCGTGTTTCTTTTTGGTGAAATTGTTTGACACCCGATTTTGGGATGTGTTTAGGTTTCTCTATTGAATCTATAAATATTGGGAAACAGTATGCCTTGCGAATGGTCAGTATGGTCTATCACTGGCCATGTTGTTTGTGGTTTCGTTGTCTTTTGCATTTTAACACTCGATCCGATGCGTGTTGTTCTGGTTTCGGATCCTTTCTTGGGATGAAAAAGAAGGGCAATCCATGGCAATCCAATTATTCCGATAAATGAACGGAACATGAATTTCCATTCTCAGTGTGGATGCGACACTTGAATCGGCTGGGGACTGTGGTCAGTCAGCGAAGCTGCTCAAGTCTTAACGTACTTCATTGAATACTTGTAGTTCCAAAGAACACAACACCTGTTTTAGTTACAGACATGGCAGCGACATTGGTCACTGAAGCTTACAATATCAATCAACTTAATCACATAATACTGTTACGATTTATTGCAGCTTGTCAAGCACCAGCACTTTGCGTTTGGCGCATCAAGGCAGATCCTAGGCACATCATGGCACGTTGCGCCAAGCAAGGTCGTTCGGAAATATGGTGTTTCTGTACGAGTGCTACCAAAGATAGACGTTGCGTACGACCAGATCCACTGAAATCCAAACCGCCACCGTGGCTCAGGGCGTTCATGACCTGATGCCTGGAGAGCTGTTGAGTAAACCAAAGTAAAGAACCCTCCTCCCAATATCATGATTTCTTGAACCCTCCGTAAACCCTATATCTTGGAGCCCCAAGTACATCCAAGTTCCCCAAAAATCTTTGGTGTGTCCCATTCATTGCCTGTAATAGTAAGGGTCGATCAAAGACTATCACTATTCTTGAGAAAGGATAGCCATCATCATTCGCTGTTACAGGGAATGGGATATACTATGATATACTGATATACCCCTACCATCCCCTACCTATCTCCAGCTCTTTCTTTGTGTGTGGGTTTTAAGTCCCAACTGCGGCCCGGCAGCCGGCTTGATCCAAGATCGGCCATGATCCTAGCCAAGATTGGCCTAAAAAAAGCCATGTAACATATGGAAACGGAATGGTTGTATACTTATACAATCTTATACAGTATCTTATACAGTATCATGAGGCTACCAATGGAGTACAATCTATCCCCCAAGGCCGACGGCCTACGAGTCCATTCCTTCGTGGTATTTCTGCCCGACGGCCCTTCGCTCGCTCCCCATCCCTCTCAGGAGTTCCTTGAGTCTCGACTCCGTTCTCACCCTGGACACTGAAGCCTTTTGTGGCTGCCGAAGCCTGAAAGAGGTGAATATCCCAGGGTCCCTCCAAGAGATCAGCCCCAGGTGAGGAGCCGTGCTGAAGAGCACGCTTGTGGCCGAAGCAGAAGTTTGAGAGGGACCAATTGGAGTTGAAGATATATATATATAATGGTATATGATATTTATTTATAGCCAGATTTTGTGTAGCTCGATGTTCCAAAAGACCAAAGACAATTCCAAACCCGCATGGGTGGTTAATCTACATCAAATTTGCTGTTGACCCCAGAAGTCCAAATGTCCTGTAGGCTATCAGCAGTCCACTTGGCCCTCACCCCTGGCAGCCCTGGCAGGGCTTTCAGTGGTTGCTCTGCCTTACTGAAGCTGAGCATACCCGACAGCATCCGAGAGATTGGGGAGAGCGCTTTTTTCGCCTGTAGCTCTTTGACGACCTTGAACATTCCAGAGTCTTGGTTGGACCAAAGGACATGGACGAAGTGATTGACCATCAACCTTCCACCGTTTTGGAAGTTCTAATTGTATGCTTATAGTTTTGGAACCGAGTAGGACACAAGCTCATTTTAAGTCCAGTTTGTTGATTGTTTGTTTAACGCATACACTCTTTTGATTTATGGTTGCTACCTGTGTTTTAATCAAGACCAAATGATCAAGCACGAACATATGTGTTGCTATGCTTGAACATGTTTTTGATGCTCGGGAATTAAATCCTGTGCATTTCTGGGTCTTGGTCGGTAGGGAGAACTGCCACGCAATTGGTGTAAACAGCAGTTTCTCTGAGATGTTTCAAGTTTCCTGGACGAACTGCACCCATCCGTGCTGTCTGTCTACCTCAGACCGTGCTGTCTAACCCAACCCATCCACCGGTTTTCACACTCAGGACTCGGTGCTCATCGATCGAAAGGCATTTCAACTCTGTAGCTCCCTGCGTTCCCTTCATCTGGGAGACCACGTGCAGATGGGGCCCTGCGCCTTTGCTGGATGCCACTCTTTGAAGAGTGACTGGGAGTATGAGTTAAGGTCAACACGAAGGGGTCCTTTTTTCAAGATGTCGTCCCAATCCGTCCATGTTTTGTGGAATAATTATCTACATCGCCGTGGGCCGTTGATGACCCACGACTCGAGCAGGGTGACTATTCCATACATAGATGCTTTGGGTTTGGAAGAAGGTGACCCAAGTCAGAAGTGACTCAATTGCTTCTATTTCTCGGGACTTGGGGGGGCTCTCAAAGACCCAGTTTTCCAACGCAGATGAAGACCAGGGTTTCGCTGCGACCTCTCTCCTTTTTTGTTACAGAAGAAGAGAAGAATGGACACAGTTTCCTTCGCTGGCTTCGCGAAGTGGTGCGTTTCACTCGCCAGGTTTAAGCCTGCCCAAGTATATGACTGTCATTCCGCAGAGTGCCTTCAGTGGTTGCTGCTCCTTGAGTGTCGTGAGGATCCCCGAAGGGGTTTTCCAGATTGAATCTGGTGCCTTCAGTGACTGCTTGGCGTTGACACACGTCCACCTGCCCTCATCGCTGATGTCCATTGGAGAGAACGCCTTCTGCGATTGTCACTCACTTTGCACCATGACCTTGCCGAGCTCTCTGAGTCATATGGGGAACTCTGCCTTCCTGAATTGCACTTCTTTGACCAGTGTGAGGACTTGGAATGTGTTCATGAACAACCGTCAAGCAAGCAGACGACGTCTGGGCAACGCATGCCCTGGAAGTCGAAGATTATTACGCAAAACGGTCTTTAGGTGACCAGCAAAGGATGATCCTTTACTTAGGTGGTGCCAAATATACAAAAACATGTAGTCTTTGAATGTCTTTGATAGTCTTTGGATGTCTTTCTTTGGACTTCAGCTGAGCATGTGTAGAGGGATGTCGTTTTCACTGGTGCATCAGCTCAGTGGTGTTCTGGTGGCCTTTCGGTGAATCGACTCGTTTGGACAAACGAGTCGTCCGTTGGTTGGGAGTCTTGCAGGATCCCAGGCTCTTTGACTCAGATTTCCTCCGATGCCTTTCATGGCTGTTGCTCTTTAGCCAGCTTGGAGATCCCCAACAGCGTCACCACGATCCAAGAAGCCGCCTTTATGGGCTGCAGCTCTTTGACCACATTGAAGATCCCAGAGTCCGTGTCCTGTTCTATACGAACCTTTGGAAGACTGCGTTTTGCTTTTAAGTGGGGAAATCCCTGGGAATAAGCGATTAAACTTAACGGACTGATTGTAGCGAGAAAACGAAGCAGCAAGTTGTTGCATGAAATATGATGTTCAGCTTCAGAGTTACCCTTCATCTCGTATGTGAGAAACTCTCATCTCGCTTCAACCAACACCGTCCAAAAGCAGCTCAACAAAGATAACACCATATTATCCTGTTTGGATATAAACATATAGGCGCATAGAACATCACCCGGCGACCCCGTTTGTAGAAGAACATTATTATAGCATATTATAACATTATCTATCTAATACTAATACATACCAGGTGCATCGAAGGGGTGTCCACTGGGCACCCCTTAGACCCCAAACTCATTGGACACCCCTTAAGAATTGAAGCTTTGGGAAGGTATGGGACACCCTGCTAGGACCAAATGTCATGAAAACCAGGTGGTGCAAGCGCGTCGAAGCGTTTTCTGAGGGCGATCCGCTGTTGGCACAGCCTGTCACGGGGCTCGGCGGGCGAGAGAGGGATCAGGACAGGTCGCCACATCTCCATGAACACACCACCAAACTCGAACAATTCAAACATAGTTCACCACCAAACTCGAACAATTCCAACAGAGGTCACCACCAAGCTCGAACAATTGTTCACCACAAACATCCAACCACACATAAACAGGTCACCACACACATGCGCTAGTTCATGTTTCGATGTTCAATTTTTCCCTTCACCTTCACCTCGGAGCAATGGTGAAAAGAAAGAGTGCCTCACCAACACCAGTGAACATGTGCTTGATGATGGGTCGACCAGGGTTGATGGATTGACATGCTCTGAGGAAATTGGCCAGGGCATTCTACAAACGGGTGAGCCCTCAATACGTTCAGAAGAACGACGAGCTTCTTCCTGGTGGGGACATTCGGAAGACCGCGAACCAGTGGGTCAGAGCGGCTTTCATGGACACGGGGCTGAAGGTGGTCCCGCGTGAAACCCGCATCAGGGAGGCGGTGGCCAAGCTGGTTCACAAGAAGAGATTTGGTCTTCAACTTAGTGATCTTGTGGATTTAACATGCCCTCCAAACTTGGTTGGTGTTGATACTGGCTGGGTTCTTGGTCGAGTCACCAGGCTGACAGCTTGGATGTTGCCACGGATAAGGTATTGGCTCACTGCTGAATCCACTGCCCCAAAGGTTTCCACGTGGAAACGTACCAGAAAGGAATTCTTTACCCAAGCTCTTGTCAAGCGCTTTGGGGGCCACAGTTGGGTTTCTTTTGAGAAAGGCTTACGTTGCACCAAGTGCCCTACTGTCTTAAAACGCTACCGGTTGTTAACGGACTTGGAAGTTCTTAGTGACCTGCCTTGTACAGGTGCAGAGGCTGAAAATCAAGGGTGTGGACACCCTTTCTTGCGTAAAGTCCACTATACCCACACCATGCATGGTGAGCACCCTAATCTTCAGTGTTGCCATTGCCAGGGTAGGCTCTCGGGCTGTTGTAGGTCCATTAGTAGGAAATTATTGTATCCGTGCGGAGCCTCAGGAAGGACGAGGCGTCGGTGATCGCTTGCTAGCTATTTGTTAAAAAATGGTTGGTGTTGATCCCTCAGTAATTTTACTAAGACAATAAATTACTATAATGTTTAAAAATACTATACAAAAATTACTGTTAAAACAATAGTGATTTCATATAGTAAAAAATTTACTATATATAGTAATTTGGATTACTATTTAAAGTAATTTCTATAAAGTATGGTTTTTATGCAACACATGAGAAGTGTCGTTCTTTCTCTGACCAAAAGCTAGTGTCAAAATTGTATGTTTGGCACAGGGTTCTACTTGGCACAGTGTGGGACATTTTGTAAAGCAGTGTTGCATTTTACCTGAGTCTTGGCATTTTACCTGTGAGTTTCTGTTCCTTTCCTGATGCTTGGCAAGTTATAGTACTTGTGAGGTTGTGTTGCATTATGCCTGAGTCTTGGCATACTACCTGTGAGTTTTTGTTGCTTGCCCGAGATTTGGCAAGTTATACTTGTGAGGTTGTGTTGCATGACCTGAGTCTTGGCATGTTACTTGTGAGTTCTTGCTGCTTGCCCGAGGCTTGCCATGTTACTTGTGGGAATGTTCTTTGACAGCTGTGCGTTGCTAGTTTGGAGGCCTAAGCAAGGATAAACATAGGTGTGTGCTGCAGCATGTCAGCAGTCTTGAGTGCTTGGGGGGTAGTTTCTTAGAAGTTCTTTCTTGTGCCATGTGACCTGTTCATTGTTGGGTGGGATTTGAGGGCTGTCACCATTTGACTTCTTAGGTGTTGCGTTGAAAGAATTTGAAATACTTGAGGTTTGATATACTTGTGAGTCAACTTGCGCTGTGAATACTTGATATTGCCTGGTTAGTTTGGACGCTTTTGTACTTTAAGCTGAAGTACTTGAGGTTTGATACACTTGTGAGTCAACTTGTGTTGTGAACACTTGAGATAGCTGATTACTTTGGACGCTTATGTACTCTGATAAGCTGAAATACTTGAGGTTTAAAGGTCTGCCTGGCTAATTTGGTCTTTTGTCTCGTGGAATTTGGTCTTTTTTGGGTTCTGTGTGTTTACAGAATGACTGAGTCATTGGGTTCCAGTGATGCCATCAAAATTAATTGCCTTGACAAAAGATCCTCACCTGGCCATGTGTTGGTCCTTTGAGAATGCATCAATTGATTTGTAGGGAGTTGGTTGGAATCTAGAAACCCTCACCTGACAGGCGTGATGGCAGTTGTACTGCCAGTACATTCGCTGTAACATTTTTGTGCATATTTTGGCTGCCATGTTTGGATGCAGCTTTGCGCCTCAGTTTTTGGAATCATGAGTTCCGGGGTTGCTTTTATTTGGAAGCCCGGGCAAATTTCAGAGAAATTTGAAAAAACAGCTGATTTATGTTTAGAGACCGCTGTGTCGCTAAGATGTATGAGTTCTACTTTGCCCGAAAAGTGTGGAGCAGGTTTCCTTTCACACTGGATTTGGAAGCAAAAGCAACGGTTTATTTGTGCATGATATCTTTGAATATATGTGTGTATGCATGGTTCATATCCATGCGTGACATGTCTTTGGCACTGTAAGAGTGCCATACATGACATTTCAATGGCACTGCAAGAGTTGCCAAACATTTTACCCCACTGGCACTGCAAGAGTTGCCACGACATTCAACCGGCACTGCAAGAGTTGCCACCACACGCCGTTGACCTGGCACTGCAAGAGCTGCCATGAAATTCAGTTTCCAGTGCTAAAGTTCATTTTAAGAGATCATCAAAAACTAAAGCACTCTTCCAGCGCCTGTCTGATTTGCATCAATCAGCGCCTGACTTCTACACAAAAAATGAAACTGCACCTGCTTTCAATGCATCATTGACAAAAGGACAGTCTTTGTCAACAGGTGCTCTTTCACCATCAAACAGAAAATGAGTAGCAGGCATGGCAAGCAGATTGAGCCTCGGTACACTACAAAGGAACTATCAGTGCACAAGTTTATACAAAGCACCGATTTGACTCAGACTCAGAGCCACATGGCGCTGCCAAACCAAAACCTTTTTTCACTTTCTCAGCAGCCTTCTGGTCACAGCGATGATATTCACTCCTGAGGCCCCTTGGCTCTCTTGGCGCGCCGATCCAACTCAGTCTCATTCTGATCCTGCTGCTCCGGCTGCTGTTGCTGGTGTGGCGCTGCAATACAAATTGCTTGCATTGCCACCATTTGAGCCCGGAGCAGGAGGATTTGGGCCTCATAGTTTTCTTTTTGAGATTGTAGCATTGCTTCAAAGTGCTCCCTTATCAGCATCTCTCTTTGGCCAGCCTCTCTTCTGATTTGAGAAGGGCCATGCTTGTGACGCCGGCCACCCTTTTGACCAGAATCAGACCAAGCAGGCAACTGAGGACCTGGATCTGCTGAGACGCTAGAGGTGGCACCTGCACATGGCTGACCCATCATCATTGGAGGGTTTTGACCCATGATCAAAGGGCTTTGACCCATCATCATCTGGGGTTGAGCCATCATTTGACAACCTTGACCCATCATCTGAGGGCCTCGAGCCATCATCTGAGGGGCTTGACCCATCATGTGCATTGTTCCTGGCATGAAGTTGCTCCCAGCTGGCATTGCCGGAAATGGTGCCCTTGTCGGCCCTGTGATAGGTTGTGTCATTGTCATGATGGGTGGCTGGAGCGGTTGGAGGCCAATTTGAGGACCTGGCATCTGGACCCCCGTTGGCATTGGCGCCGTCATCGTTGGCTCGTTCAGCATGGGACCAATGGAAGGTCCAGGCTCAGCACCTCCTGCCACCTTTTGTGGAAGTGGCTCTTTTTCAGGACCTGTCACTGTTCCCCCTGTGCTGGCTGAACGGCAAGGGGGTTTCTCCCCCTCAGCCTTAGGCTTTTCAGCCTTGGGCTTTTCAGCCTTAGGCTTTGGTGGTGGTGGCTTTGGCGTGTTGCCCGCCTTTGGTGGTGATTTTGGCTGGTTGACCTTCCCACCGCCGTAAGCTGTCAATGGTGGCCCTGACACTATCAGACTGCGGTGTGGCGAATCTGGTCTCGCTTTGCTCACCACTGTCATGACTTTGGGTTCTGGTGGTGAAGACTTTGCAGAGGCCCCCACTCGCACAGATGCCGGCAAATTCCTGGGTGTTGGTGGTAAGCTAGCCTTTTGTTTAGCGGGCTTCTCACTGGAAACTGGCAGAAGTGGCGGATCATTGGAGTCCAACATGGCTGCAATTGAAAGACCTGGGAAATTGAAACGGTTTGAGCCACCATGACAAAGACATTGAAATTATATAAGTCTCTTCATGGCTGCACGGTCATCAAACTCAACCTTGAGAATGGCTTCAACTTTAGCATTGGGCGTATGCCTGATCACAGCAAGAACTGACTGCAGTGGGCCCTACAAGCTACTATACAGCAACCAAGGTCGGCGCCATTGAATATCGGCAATGGGCTTTGAAGGCCA